TAATTTTAAAATGCATTTTGTTTGTTTTGATATTATTTTTTATTTCCGAGTTATAACAATTTGAAAATAGCTCTTTTCTCATTATACATGAAAAAGATATTCTATCTCAATTCTGCATTATGTAGAAAGTGTTTCTGTACTTACATAATGCTATTCTTGTGCATAATTGGATCAAATACTAAATAAAAAAGCAATATAAAAATAACAAAAAAATATAATATAAATATTAAATATATTTTCAAATTGCTATGCATATCTCCAATACGAAAAATTATACCAAAACAAAATACATTTTAAAACTAAAAGTTGATATTTTTGGACATATTTGTAGTACTAAAAATTTTGAAAAAAAATTGCTGCTAATATTAATTATTCATTACGTGAAAACTCTCAAAAAAATTTTACTGCTTTTTTTACACTATTTTTCTCAAAAATGTGATAGCCAAATTAGGAAAACAGATTCGTATTAAGTAGGCAAGAATATATTAGAAATAGTTTAAAATTGTTAAGTTTTTTTCGTAGACTTTAGCATAATTAGTATAATTAGTGCGGAATCCTTTATTAATGCGCTATTAATGCGCTATTAGTCGCGTGTGAGGAAAATTGCCTAAAACAAGAAATACATAGGCAAATTTTCTTGCCGACGACATAGCAGAAGTAGACGCGATGCGACCGTCACTTGAATCAGGTTAATGACCGCAGTGAGATGATTTATAATAATTAAGCAGTCGTGCATTCACGGTACTAGAGGGTAATTTTTCAGTACTTCAACCACAATAGATTAAGTAAAGTAATAATTTCTAATATCATTTTTTTAGTTTTCATTAAAACGTTAAAATTCCTAAAGATGTGACCTAAATTGCACGAAAATAACGGCTACAGAGTGATGCAGCACCACCGACAAGTCGTTTGATGAATTTGAAACCGATTTTTTATAGAACCGATCTCCGTTTGGAAGTAATCACTTGTAATTCATTGTAATCTTTTAATATTATACGTAAGATTATTATAATATAGATAACAGAGTAATATAAAATTTTAGTTAAGGACAAAAATAAATTATAGATTCTGTGTTTCTATTTTTTTAAACTGTAAATTATGTTTACAAAGAATCCCTATAGTTATTTTCGTTTAAATGATATACAAAGTAGATTGGCCCTTAAGATTTTATCATTAAACACACCGTTTGTCAGAAAGAAATAGCATAAGTTTCTTTGAGGACGCTCTCTGGTTCCAAGATTGGCTTAATCGGCGCGTATTTAATTTTCTTGATTTACTCGAATCTTTAATACTCGTTTTCTCAGCAAAGCTTTAAAGAATCAGTAAGATGACTTACGATGTCGAAACTGGAATTTAGAGTTTGGATATAGAGACGGAAATAAAATAAGATTATTAGATCCGAAGTTTGGTTAAAAATTTGGGACCATTCTTACCGATGCAAAATAAAAATTGCATTCAATTGGGACTCTTTTGAAAAATATTTATTTTATTTTTGTGTGATTTCTATATGTAAAGAATAAGAATGTATATGTATATTTACAGGATGGATATTAAAAGATTTTAAATAGTAAATCCTCACACAAATTCAATAAAAATTTTACATCAAGAGACACGCGTGTCTTTACGCGAGTCAGCGAGTTGCAGGCATCCGAGCATCCGAAATTCTCGGTTTTTTTTAATAAAGACTAGATCGATCGAGTTCTGAATATAATCGTATGACCGAAACATCTTATTGTTAGTTTAAAAGAAACAGTATGTCAAAATTGAACAAAAAATTTCATTTTTTCAAAAATTGGAAAACCATTTGGGTTATTTTGATGAGACATTGTATATATTTAAAGTTTCATCATAATAGCTCAAGTGGTTTTCAAAATTTTTGGAAAAAACAAAATTTTTCCTTCAACTTTATAATATCTTGTATCTTTGAAACTAAACCGTATCAGATATATAATTATATGAAGTTTTCATCTTGAATGTGTAAGGAAACATTCCTTTCGGAGTATTTATCATCCACTTTGTATATACAAATTTTAATTAATTTCAATTTTTAATTTTTAATTAATTTTACATTTAATTTTGATTTATTAATTAATTTCTTCTTACATAAAAAAGATATTAGAGGAAATAATTTCACTGCTTTCAAGATATAGAAGATTTTTTCTTCTTCTTTATTGATGGTGCGAGATCAAACGGCAGAACATGGCACGGAAAAAAGAAATAAAATAAGCAAGTGCACCCAGTGGGAACAAGGTCGGAACTCTCTGACCTCTTCGCAGGATGGTTCTGGCTAATGTCAAGATAAATGCGATTTCCTAGGATAGGAAACGCGGAGCAAGGGTAACGTGGGAGCACCGAGAACACAAGAAGAAAAATATTGTTTGCCGCGAAAACTGGGGCGCACATCCTGAAGCAGGGCGTTGGTAGTGGTCTGACCACGAAGGCGTCACGCGGGGGTTGAGGAAAAAGCCAAAAGCTCGTCGGCTTTCGTGCCGGAGTAGCTTGCCAAAATAAGATTCGTTTTTAGAGCGGAATTAAGGGGAGGAAGCTTTTAGAATAGGGTTACTTAAATCGGGTCACACGAATCCTTGTATGATTCTCTCGCGTGATTAAAAAATACGGCGAGGTCGATAATCAAATTCGATGATCAAATATACAATTCGTCTTTTGATGTACTTTCAGCAGTAAATGTTATTATTTATTCACGAAAATATTTCGAAATATGTCTTTTTTTCCTTCATCGGAAATATTACTTTACATTTGTTTATTTCTTGTATTTCTACAAATTGTAAAGTAAACTTTGAACTATTTGATACGAATCTTCAAAGGATTCTGAACAAACACACCTTCCATCAGTGCAATTTCCTTTAAAATCTTATATAATTCTAGCAGAGAAGATTGATATTCTTGAGAGTGATTTTATTTACACGAAATTGAAAGCTGAAAGTATGAAATTTTTGACATTTATTATTGCAATTTTCAAACTTTTATATCTTTAATAGTTATTAAATTTTTCCGTCGCAATAGTTATACCGGACGCAAATTTAAAGATTACCTGATTATTATATCATTTTGCAATGTTCGCCGGACAATTATTCTCGAAATATTCATGATCACTCGTTTATTGATCATTATTCTCCCCTTGAATACACGACGATTCTCTGAATTCCATTTATTCGGAGGATCGCCAGCTTGTATTTGTATTCTACTAGGTATTGTTGAGCTTTCGCGACTATTTTCTAGGATTGCTAGATCAGCGGATAGAGCCAATGTTGCCATCGCGATCGCTCAATGTCTAGCGCATAGCCTTAGGCCAACGAGAACCTCAGGAGCTCGTTATCGTGGATGAATTCAATGCATCGCAGACGACAGCGAGCGACAGCGAATTCAACCGACGTTGGCTTAGCCGCGTTCGGACCATTCATCTTGCTTCGGACAGTTGTCTTCCCGGTAATGCCAAAGATACCGATCCAAGGAGGTACCAATGCGGATTCTATCGGCGGAAGTTACGCGTCTTTCTGCGGATATCGGCTAGTTTACGGTCGTTTCTCCAAATAACAATGCAATCATTGTAGATGGGCACATCAATTCGTTGTGTATTCGAACGGGAATAAGATATGATAGAAATCTTATTTATTTATATTTTTATTTTATTTTCTATCATATTTTTGGCTAAGATATGATAGAAAATAAAATAAATATATTAACACAAATAAACAAAGAGAATCCTATTCGGACAAGGTGGATCTTGGTGCTTATTAATATTTTTGCTTGAATTTTACAATTTCCATCTTATGCAAACTGTGTACCGATTAGTCAGACTTAAAATACTCCCAAACTGAAGCTAGAGTATGTAATATTCACAAATTAAGTTGGCAAACGATTAGGACTGATACTTATGAGCATTTTGTAACACTGTAAAGAATTAAAAATAAAGTTAATAATCGATGATGTTCTTAATTACGAAATAAAGCGTTCGTCACAACAAAAATATTATTTTACAATTGATACTTCTCATTTCCATTTGAAAATAAATAATTCATTATATGCAATATTTAATGTAATCTAATTTTTATTATATTTTTTTTTATTATATCTATATTATACGTTCTTTATATCTGCATTCCATTTAAATCGGTGGTATTCCGCCTGAATCTCCAACATTACGAGTACTTTCACATTATTTCCTTTCTCGTGTTTCCCCGCTTTTGGCTTTAGTCTCTGTGACCTCGAAACGAATGTAGGTATTTGGCGTCTCCGCTTTAAGAGATATATCGGTGGCAGGATTAGTCGATTTTTCCTAGTGCCAACTATCCTCGAATTCGTGTTCATTCGTTACGAGATGCCTTCTATGAAAATCTTCCGTGTCTTCAACAAATTTCAACAGATTTAGAAACTAGTTTACGAGTTGCTGCCCTTTCGCGAGAATGCACTTGGGAATCTTACGTAAACTCTCGCAAAGTTGTTCGGTATATCTGCTTGCAAGCTTGATAATTTCATTGCGTAATTTACCAGAGGACACGAACTTGATGCGAACAGCGAGTCGCATAAAACATAAAGTTTCAAACGTGCTTGCTAAAGATCATCCTATATTATCTTCTTCAGTGACCATATATACGTACATAGCAGCAGCAGCAGTGTTGACATAAATACGAACTTACTTCCAAAACTGTAATTTTATTATATTGTCGTAGTTGTTACTTAATATAAAGTTGTTACTTAAAAAAAGAAAAAGCCAAGATTGTATATATCAGTGTGATATTTTTTAAAACACTTACAACAGTGTGATATTCTTTCAAACATAAAAGGCAGCAAATGATTTAATGTGCAGAATGTCAGTTTCGCGATTCGTGCTGTGTAATGCACTTTGTATGTACACAACGAAATATTTATGAAAATAATATTTTCTTTTTTATTTTATATAATTGTTTTGTTAATTATCGCCAGTCGAAATGTTTTGACAATAAACTGTCGATTTAAACTTCATTCACAAAGCGACTTACCCTTTCTATGTGGCCGCCACTAACGACCTCCGGCGTGTTAACACAGACTACTCTTTTCAAGCGTAGTTTGTTAACGTGGAAAGCCGAGCCGTAACAGTACATCAGCACCATCGTCGTTGGGAAATAAAAACAGCAACACGCTAGGATCCTGAAAAAGGAGATACGATAAAGAGCATTTTTCGACCCAGAAAAGCAGTAATTAGCGTGTCATATGCAAGCGGGAATATAACTAGTGCAGTGAAGCTGATATCACACGAACGTAATAAAATTATATTTGTACAAGTAGATTACGCAAAATCTGATGTTACGTGTGTAAAGTTATTAGTATTTACAATATGATAAAAACAGTATCACGATGCATCCATTTCAACTTTCTCTTATAAATTAATATGCTTTGTAACAGGATTGGTAAAGACTAATGTTTTTTTTTTTAAGAATAAAACATATTGTGTTTCTTCTTGAATATGTTTTTAATACTTTAAAAATATGCTTTAAACAATACTATAAAAAAAACTTATTTAAAACATATTAAAAACATCAATTAAACATGTTTTAAACTGTTTAAAACACGTTTAAAACATGTTTTTTACCAACCCTGCTTTGTAATGTACTTTGTGAAGTTGACTCTATCTCGCCTGCATTTAAATCATCTTATAAACTTTTTTATATTCTATTTCTCCAAAGCAACGTTTATAAAATCCGTAATATAAATGGATAATTCTATTTGAACTAATGTGTCAAGATAGAGTTTCTAAATTACTGATCCGATAAAAACATTACGATAGGTCGAAGTAACGATTCGTATTTAGCACCGGTTTAGATCAGACTTTAAGCGTACCAGAAGGGAACATTAACGCGGATATATCGCTATCTTTCACGGTCGATCGCCTCAGTGTCCTCCCAAGGCGATCGACCACGCGACGGTGCGGCGTTCTCAACATTAAATTGTAATTGTCCACAATTGGTCACCGACGTGGTGAACAAACGTGATGAGCAAGATCGTGAAATGTCGAGCTTATCACCGCATTACTATATATAGCATTCGCTATGGTGATACCTAAGGGATGCTCTAGCGAAGAAGGGGTCGCAGGCGAGAAGGCCAGACCCGTTGAAGTAGTAACCGCCTCTGGGGAGTACCAGAACCCCGAAAATTGCCACGCTCGCTATCCAAGTGGTCGACATCACCGCCACACAGCCCTGCCGCATGTAATACTGTGTCAACATAGAAACGACACAGAAAACGATCACTCTTTTTCACCCATACGCCGAGCGTTTTATAGATATGGTGCACATGTATGCATACATGTATTTGTCTATATATTTTTATCGGTTCAGACCGGGGCTTGTTTGCACACATTCTATCTTTTGTAGTATATCATACATCGTTTACTCAAACGATTGCATGCACTGTTTTTATTATCCAAAATCTCAGAGTGTATTATTCAATTGAATAGACGAAATATTTAATACTGTGATAAATGATATGCGATAAATAAGTACTGCTATGTATTCTATCAAATATCTAAATGTATGTATGATGTAATTTTTCAAATAATAATTAAATAAAATGTATGCAAATAGCTTCAAGTTAAATATAAATGTTGTAAAAATTTAAGTAGAAAAAGAATCATTAAAAAAAATATCGTTTCTTGAGAATATGTATACCTTAAATTAAATGCATGTCCAAAATTTATATATTTTATAATGTAACTTATTAATTTTTATGTTTTATAATATAACATTGCTTAATCGTATTTATTGAACGAAAATGAAGAAAATAACGTAAAAGATATACATATATTTATCATTGAAATTATACTTAACTACATAAAATTATAAACATTATATTTACACGGTATTTTTTATCAGAATTTTATAAAAATATTATAAATGTTAAAAATTATCTTTTAAAAAAACTCGATTATACTAGTTTTAGATACATTGCACCTTTAGTGAAGTCACTCTTCATTTGATCAAATCTCCATGCAAATAAAGAAAGTTCCACGAACTAGTTTTATCGACGATCCACTTTTACAGCACAAACCCGGTGTGTTAAGCATTATCGAGATTAACCTCGTCCTGATCCCAAAAAACGATCAATGAAATGACACTCGACCTTACTGCTCTCCAAGTAGTAAGGATCGAGGCTTATGCGACGTTTTCTTTTGTCCTTTGTTACAAATACGATCCATTAACTTAAAAATATTATTAAAAGATATAAAAATAAATAGAAGTACATAGAAATATTACAGATGAAAGTCGTTACGATAAAAAGTACCATGTAAAAATATCAGAATTTTTGTGTAATCATAGATATTTAAAATAAATTAAATATTTTTCTTAGCGTTTTCTTATTTTTCCATTTAATAAATACGAGATAGTACCGAGAGAGAAGTACAAATTTAATTTGCAAACTCAACACACTTAATTTAAGACATATATTCTTGAGGACAGACAAACTGTATAATTTTTTTTTCTTCATATTTAACTTCAAACTTTATAATTTTTTAGTACGCTTTCATGTGCTCTTGTATATTAAAAATGTTTATCTTTAAAACTAAACTGTTAAGAGTATAATGTTAATTTTAACTTAAAGACGTATAGACTTTCTGGAACATGCAAAAATGTTAAAACGTTGAAAAGAACAATAAAAATCTTATTGGACATGTGAAAATATAATAGGAAATATAATAGGAAAATTAAAATTAACATTTTTTAATACAAAATTTATTTCTTAAATTAGATATGATTTACTCAATGTAAATTATATTAAAAAAAGATATATTAACAATATTGTGAAATGAAACTTAATCATTGTGATTATGTGAAAATCACAGCTATAGTCGCGAATAATACTTAAAGAAATGGTAAAAATACATAAAATGACAAATCCATACATAATGTAGATACTATCCTAGTTGCATTTTAGTCCTGTTGAGAATCCCTGAAAATACTATCGAAGTTATCGATCCGTCTAAAATAGTGTAAGGGTTGATATTCTCCGCGCATTGTGAACACCGCGCATTGTGAAACAAAGAGCTAAAGACCAAGTTGTTGAGAACTTGGAACTAAATACGAGCTGTAGCTCGCTCAATATTGCACCAAATATGGCTAAAGCTGATGTAACACGAAACTCTATCTGCGAACTAACATAATAATACGATAAGAGCAAATGTGAAATCAAAATCGAGAAGCAACAGTTTCGATCGAGTATAAAAAGAGACAGAGCCAAAGTTTGCCAGAATTCGACGAGCGGCCAAACGTTCGATAGGCGGAAAATTACGGAATGAATGAAAGACACGAATCAGCGATTCGTCAAACGCTTTTCTTTTACCACTGATTTTTATACGTTATGCTTCCTTTCTCACTTTAGTGATTGTGCAAATAGTAATTCTATTTTATTCTTTTATTTTATTCTATTATTTTATTCTGTTATTTTATCTTATTATTGTATTTTATTCTATTCACAATGTGTACAATCTCATTTCATTGTAAAAAAAAGAACAACCTAAGATACTATATCATTAGTGCTAAAGGATTTGCGGGTTATTTATTGTTTTCCATAGTTTTTAAAGTATTAAATATGTTATGTGAATACGCTGAGAAAAAAATGCTGTTGATTCAATTAAATTCTATATTACGGGCTGTCACTAACATAAGTGATTAATTCATGATTTAATTGAATCAACAGCATTTTTTTCTCAGTGTACGAATCTGTTTTTCAAATTTAGCTATCAAATTACAATTTTGAGAAAAATTATGTTAAAGAGGCAAAAAATGATAATTTTTTTATGATGTAATGTCGACAATAAATTTTTTTCATAAATTTTTCAAATCTCAAGAACTTTCTTCAAAATTTTTCAATGCCACGTAGTATCAATTTTTGATTTTAAAATGCATTTTGTTTCTATTCGGTATGATTTTTCATTTTCGAGATATGTATTGTATATTAATTTTAAAATCGGTTTTTTTCCATGTAATACATGGAAAAGATATTTTATTCCATTTTAATGGTGTATTATGTAAAAAATAAATTCCTTTCTACTTACATAATACTATATTTATATAATTGGATAAATAAAAAAACGATACGAAATTAAGAATCAAAACAAGAAGCATATAAGCCTAATGCTGGATATTTTTTGCCTAACTTGTTCTCTAATCCGATAATAAATATAAATATACATATATAAGGTTTTCGACCACTTATCCGAGGTCTATTTTTTGTGGCTGAACTAATGTATACTTTTGGAATTTAAAGTGAGAAAGGTATGTATGTTTGATATTTGTTGAAAGAGAAAAAGAAAGTTCTAATGCAGTCTAGTGCAGCAACAGAAAATAGACCATTTGTTATCTTCAGTATTTAAAATTTTAACAATCAATCGATATAAAATTAACAAAATATAATATAGCTATTTTCAAATTGCTATATCTCGAAAACGAAAAATCATATTGAAACAAAACGAAATAAATTTTAAAGCTAAAAGTTAATATTTTTGTGTGGCACGAAATTTAACGAAATTGCGAAAAAAATTTGCTCTTAATATTACAACATTATGAAAATCCTCAAAATTGTCTTTTTTATTCTTTGACGCCATTTTTCTAAAAATTATAACGTGATAGACTTTGAAAAACGGAGAAAAATACATTGAAAGTAGTTAAAATTGTTAAAACAATTTTTTTATAGAATAATATCATTTATGATAAAAAGTGCATTATTTTTGCAAATATAAGTTGTAAGTAAAATCTAAATCAAATAAGTAAGGAAGGAGCCAGTATGATTGAGACTAGACCTTAGTATCTCTAATAATATTTTATATGTAAATTCTGTACATACATTTTTTAATTATATAAATTAGTATGCCGCTTACTATCAAACTTGAAATGCAATCATAAATTGAAATAAAAATAAAAATGTTATAATTCAATTGTTCGTCGATTTGCTAATGATAATATTAAATGTATTTTAAAAAATTTGTATGGAGCTTATTGCAAAAAATAGTATCTAATATAGTAGCAACATATTTACAAATATACACTGTAAATTTATAGATCTTAAAATCTTCAGTTAATAAATTTAGAATATTTGATATTTAGAGAGAGGGAGAGAGTAATTGAAACCTAAGAGAATAGTAATTTAATAATTGTATAAGTAAAAATCGTATAGGATATAGGGAAGTATTTTTAAATAAAAATTACCATCCTATCAATTACAACGTTAAGATAATTATATAGAATTATAAAGAATTATAAAATAGCAGGAAATATATCGAATGATAAAAGTAAAAAGTCTAATATGGATAGCGCTGGAAAACCATATTCTTCGAAGTCGATGAATCAGTTGGTAATACGTATATAAAATAGTTGAAATTTTCTTGCATTTCTTCTTACTTTTGAATATTTTAGGAAATTAAAATAATTTTTTATTGGCTCTTTTTATTTAAAATGCTCTTTTAATTAAAATGATTTGTGAAGTGATCTTAATCGCAATTAATTTTATTTTTATTTGGATCTATTACGTTAAATTTATTACGTAATCTTTTTTTTATAACTACCTAAAAGTTAGAGATAGGATATTTTTGAACCGCTCTGTTGTCTTTACTGCACATAAATTTCGTCCTGGTTACACGATGTATTGCTACGGCCATGGAAATAAAAGTATATGTAGTAGACGAATGACAGGCCGCGGTGACACTTTGCATTTTGATGCGCTTTTAAATCTCTGAAATTCATTTTGGCGGTTAAGCCAGAGTAAACTGACCCACGTCCGAGCTTTGACAAACCGTAGTGTGAAACTGCAGGCATGTTACGGATCGCGGGAAAGGATCCTGCTAATAGCGCTCGTAAACTTTGCAGTTGTTACGTAAAAGTTACCTTTAAAACGCTCGATCGTTTTTGCTGCTGTTCGCGAAAGATGATGCAAAATTACTGGATTATATTAACTTGCGGTAATCGATAGGTCGGAATTTCAAAAGTAATTTAACAGATTAATAGCTTCCCGCCACGTTCAGACAAGTTAGTTTTGACGAGCTTTATTTTTAAGTGAACTCTATTAAGCGAACTTTATATAAAATTATCCAGTACTCTTTATAAATTATATCACATAAAACGTATCCAATCCACATACGCAATCTACAATAAGTACTAGGATGTTCTTTTTACATTTTATTTTTTATATGAAATATTTAAAAGAGTGGGGAAAAATATATGGAATATATATGAATAAATGTATGTATTCTCCAATTTTTAGTTATATAAAAAAGAATAAAAAAGATAAACAATATTCCATTTATAAAAGCAGCGCAGATGTATGCGCTTACTAATTTTCACACTCCTTCGTTATGGTAACAAAACAGAAACGATTGCTATTATTTTTATTTCATCGCTGAGTAGCGTGAGATATTCTAAATCCTAAAGAGACTAAGAGATTATTTTTTGAAACGGAATTCCTACTCTCTATTCTGTTAAGCTTTCAATCTTTTTTAATATTCATTTCAATGGCTTTCATGTCTATATTTGACGTATATTACTAAGTTATATTATGTATATAAAACTATATGATATATATAATGGGCACAGGATTGAAAAAGATGTTCTACGAACGTAGCATCGGGATACCGATATTTTAGTTACGTTCATATTAACCCTTCAAAAGCATATATAACAAGAAATACCTTTATCCTTCAAACTCACATGATTACGAACGAATGATATCGGATTGTCGTATCTTATGAATAAGGTGATTGTAACGTGTAACGAGAAATATTTTTATTCCCCAGATTCATGAATACGAATATCGTCAAATATCCTCATATTATATTCATGAAACAAAATGATTGTATCAATAGTCGATTTACGATAAGTTCCATTTTCTTGTGAATTCAAACGAATTGAACAAGTTTTTCTACTATCTACCATTTTCATTGAGTAACAGTTATTTTAGTTTGAAATGACAATTGTCTGTAATCAATCAACTATTCGATCGTTTCACTTCACATCGTGTTTAACAAGAGCAAATTTACGATTGTCGATAGATCGAATGAATTGAGAGAATAGTTTGGTGAATGAATCTCTGCAGACAGAAAAAACGTTTGAAACAAGTGTGACTTTGACATCGGTTGGTACGAAATTCTGTTAGAAACGATCATAAAAGAATTGGGATTCTATTACAGTAACAACTCGAATATATTGGTTATAAGGTAAACTTTCTATGCATTTTATTTTCAATAGAAAATATGAATTGTTATTTAAATATTTATAATAATTAGAGAGATTACGTAACTTCATTATAAAATAAAAATACGATAAAAGATAAAAATTGTTAATACGCATAATGCATCAGCCACTCTGAAAGTGTGATATATATATTATTTTAATATTTAGGTAATATTAAAGGTAAAAAATAGAAATTTTAAAATAAGAGTAATTTATAATAAAGGATGTTAATAGTAGGAACATAGCAATTTGTAAAATGTTATTTGTTCAATTGTTATTACAATACCAATAATGTGAAATATGTAAGAGTCCATTAGTAATTAATAGTTTATTAGTTGCTAAGTGAATACAGACAACAAAATAGCCTTACCCTTTTAGAAGAGTGCTTGTGATAGCGATGAGGGTGCAGCATGCAAACATAACGGTCGATTGCCATGCAGACGAGGATAACAGCGCTCTGTTGAGTCAAAGCGCCCCTAAGGAGTGCCTGGAACAGTAAAAGTTTCCGAAAGAGCAAACGAGATTCTTCAAATGTCGCACACTCTCTCTTTCTTTCTTTTTTTCTTTCTCTTTCTCAGCCTTTTCGAATAAAATAAGTTATAACTTCTTGAAAAAGTGCACAGGTCGACAAGCAGCGAGACAAGTCAGATAGGCGAAAAGTTTTGATGAGTTGAGAGAGCATCGAGAAAAATCTACTTTAAGCAGCGTCTCACAATCATTACATTCTTTTTCATTTTCTACGAATCTAAAAATATTTTTCGATTTATTAAAAGAAAGTAACAATTAAGAACAAAGGTTATATAAATATGTCTATATATTGCTCAGATATTATTATATTAAGTATAATTTATTAAGGAAGAAAAGTCAAAAAGATGTCTTGTTTTTTGATGTTTTGTAAAAATTATTAACTCAAACAGGTTTCGGCCAATCTTGTCCGTATAACATAAGTTTATAGTAACCATCATAGCATAGTTCATCATACAGATTTCGTTTAGAATTATAGATTTTTACAATAAAAGACGAACAATTTTTTTACGAAAAATTGCATTGTTTAAATTCAGAGTATATTGTTAAAATTGAAAATATCTAAAATCGGCTATGATAAAGATTAGATTTATTAAATTTTTTTTTCAAGAATTTGTTGGGTGTAATTTGTTTCAGATAAACTGAACGAAAAATACGATGTTATCGCTACGGATAAGCTTAGGACCAATAGTTGTGCATTACACACATTTTAAGTAATAATTTTATGTAACACTTACTAATATAGGAGGAAATCGCCTATATTGTACACTGAAAAAAAGAATTGGCTGCTGCAGCAAATTAGATGATAAAATATGGCATAGCATTTTTAATTGGCTGTAGCAGCCAATTAATATTTTTAGTTGCAACAGCCAATTTTTGGTTGCGTTAGCCTATCCACAATGTCAGTATAGGATTTCGATAGGTTAACACAGCCAAAAATTTGCTGCTGCAATCAATTAAAAATGCTATACCATATTTTACCATCTAATTTGCTGCAACAGTTAATCCTTTTTTTTCAGTGTAACCCCTAACGTTTAAACAAAATTGTAAACAAAAGTACTGAAGATATCAGAATATTTCTGTACTTATATTAAACTTTGGTTCATTGGCAATAAAACAAAACGATATTTTTGCGAAAATAAACATTAAATTATTGTTTAAATTAGATTTAAAAAAAAAGTAGCTTTCGGTACGATTTGGAGACCGGGTTGTTAAATTGTACCACCTGGTTCCTAAATTATTATTATCGTACTTCTAATATAGTAAACAAGTTGACATTGCTTATTGTCATTTTGACATTAAAATAACATATTTAACGTCAAAATGACGTCAATTTGTTTACTGGGAAAGTAAACAAAATTAATTTAAAACTCATTTATTAATAAATTTATTTTTAATGTCAAACTGAGTATACATATTTAAGTACGTATATATAATAAAAACTTTTCTATTATAAAAACAGAAATTAGACTCTGTGTTTTTTACTCATTTAAGAAAACAAAGTAAAAAGCAATACTTAAATTGATTTAAGCTATCATTGCAGTATATTTCAGAATATTATATAATCCTCAAATGACACACTTCATCCCAGCACCTATAAACGGCACTGGTGCGAATTGAAATTTTGTGATTCCATTCACTTATTTAACCATGATAATATTCTTCAAAATACTTTTAAAACTATACTTTCATAGGATAAAATTTCTCAACAAAGCGATTAGTGCAACTCAAATTTAGTTAAATTATTCTTAAGTTATAAAAATTGTTATTAAAAAGAGATCTTTTTGATGAATGCCAATGTTTTGAAAATTTTGCTGGTGCGAATTCGCACAAGGTGCCGTTTGAGGATTAAAATCTCAGATATTTAAAAAAAATAAATTTTGGAAATAAAATCAATTGCGGATTTTTCCGTCACAATAGAAAAGTTTCAACAGAAAGACTCAATAGAAAAATTTAATAGAAAGACTCAATAGTTGATAAGTAATCACTTTCTTGAGCGCTTATTTAAACAGTTTTGGTAAATGTCAGGATTGTCACTACAGATTTCGTGCAACCACTTAGAGCACCTGACACACTGAATCCAGTCCACTGTAGGTTCTTTTTTATCATAATAGTAATCTCCACATGTTGCTCGCGTCACTGGTAAAAATCGTACCAGTACAAAGATCAGCGTTAAGTACGATTTACCCAACTCCCTCTATTTTTACAAATTTGTCAATAGCAACATAACTTACAAATATTTTGCTAATTTGCTATACTCGAAAAGAATTTAAATATCAATTATAAACCTGAAGGACACTATAATTCAATTACCCACCTTGTACTGATAACACTTTAGATAAATTATATCAAAACTTAGATCAGACATCGAACAAAATCAATTTTGAATGTCACTCGTAAACAGACGACTCGAAGACAAAACAAAAATGATAGTTCTTAACCCATATTACCAGCGTTATATCAGTATCATTATCTTTAAAAAAAATGTTTCGTTTAAAAAATACAATGGAGGTATGATTTAACCGCCGGTACGACTTAGCCAACTCTCCTCTATGTATATACAAGATATTGTTCAAAATCCTGTTTGAATAAAGTTAACAGACTTCGCAAAAAATTAATAAAAATAGGCATCTCTTTTTGACCCTTCTAGATATACGAGTATGTCCCCCCTTAGCAATATATAAATATACATATATAAATAGTAATATATATATGTAAATATTAAATAGTAATGTATTGATTAATAATAATTTTGCATTTGATTAAATTGTCAATTAGTTTATCCTAGGGATACATGTCTTTCCTGCATGATTATAACAAAATAATCAGGGTTTTACCGCTGATGAGCGGCAGCTCACGGTTTACCACAGATGCCACAACGCTTTGCGGTAATTTTGTATCGGACATCGGAATTTCTGCGAGAATCATCGTTGCCCTAATTTGAATGTACAGACGGGGATGGAATCATTTAATTAATTGCTATAGGTCAACAATGGAGATTGGCTTAATTAACATTATAGTATCATTGATTATTTACGCTAATGCTTCATGTAGACGACGTACAATTACGTTGCACACATTTCGCTATACGAGAAATCGTTTTGTAAGCTTTATAAACCTAGTGCCGAGTCTGTGCTGTAATTAAATGTCACGCTTGAATAAAAAAGGACCACGTTCATCACCGCGCAATGTTGCTTCCACGTCGTTGCACTTATCTGCCTGCGAATTTTAGTCTGCGATTAAATAGTGTGATGTAGTTTTTGCAAATTCTGTGCATGTGTAGACACCACGGTTAAAATTGAATTTACGCATGTTAATTGGAATGAAATTGTAAAATATAGTTTTGTAGATTCCAGAGATGAATAACAAATATTATTATTACAACAAACGAATATAATCGGGTTTCAATTATTGTAAGAAAGTAATTAGCGGGATCGAACAATACAAATTCCCATTGTTTTAATTAGATATAAAATATAAATCATTTTCTTTATTTTTTTAAATAAATTAATATAAAGTAATATACAGCTTCTATACTTATGAGAAGAGAAGTTTATTTAAAATTACAAGCAATCTTTGAGGAAGTATTATTACTTACTAATTAACGTTTATTTCTTGATACTGCACAAATATCTTGAAGACTAATATGTAGTAATGTATCGATTACGGACACATACTGGATCAATTTCTGGTAATTTGATCTACGAATGGACTGTCGGCTAATTTGTTCTCCGAGCGTACATACATTACACGAAACAAGCTGTCAGACGGCAGCAAATTGCCAGTATAGGATCACCGCCAGCCCTTTCAGCCAATTGAAACCAACTATCTCTAGGATTGGGGGCAAGAGAAACGCAATTGCAACTGTAAATTAACGTGCATTACTTCAGAAATTTGGAATCCTGGCTTTCTTATTTTTTATAAATATGCATATTTTTTATAAATAACATTTATAAAATGTTAATTCTTAACATTTTTTTAAATGTAATAAAATACACAAATAGAGACATATTAATGTACATATATTGATTGAATTGATTTTAACAAAAAATTTTCATATAAATTATTGTCTTTATAAGCTTATTTATCAATAAGTTGATGCTATATACTGACTATGAATCAAAAAAGATCTGCCACATATCATTAAATCAAATAGATTTCAGAGAAATACGAAATTATCAATGTATAATTTATCTCTCGAAAAAGTTATTTATACATTAAATTTATAAGTATAAAAGTATTTAAATATGTATAAAAAGTTAGATACTTTATAATTTTGCTAAAGTTAAGAATAAAAAAGATAAACTAGTATTTTCTCAAAATGCCATATAACGCATGTACGACTACAGCATATACGTTCAACCACATATTGAGCAATCTCGTAGCTATCTACTGACATCAGCTGTCGTTTGAGTCCGATATGCTGGTCTGCTTTGAAGCGAGACTCTTGGGATGTAACGAGATGTACACTATCGCGATTCGGGACACGCTCTATCCGACAGGTGCCGAGCGAAACGGACAGAAGATTCGATCTCTGGGAAAGGGAAACGATTCCAAATGTCGCAAGCCGCTGAAGGCGACAGCTTGATTCGATGAATCAGCGACGACGGTGTTCCCATACCATAAAGAAATGATAAGGTGGGGGTGCAAGTGTACCAAGTATACGTTTTAAGATGGTTACCATGGTGACCGTTGGCATATGGCCAGGAAAAAGCTCTGATAATCTAAAGGGGCCAGGATCGGTCTGGCCTCGTTTCGAGCCATCCCCGAAACACTCTCCCGGAAGACCTTAACCGAATATTTTCGCCACGAACTAACTTATCTCCGAGTAATCACTAATCCTTTGGCGTGCGTCGCCGCGTCGTCCTCGTCATCAGATCGCCACGAAAATTTTAATGGAACTTTGAACTAACTTTTATTTAGCTACGATCAAAATAATTGGTATAACGAGTTTGATCTCTT